CATTCTTGGATTTCTATAAATTCAGCATTGATAGTTTCTATACATTTATCCTCTGATTTGTTACTGGTGTAAATAACAACATCATCGGCGTATTGAATAATTTTGGACTTAGGTGATATAACATTTTCTATGTCCATTGTGTACAGGCTGTAGAGGATTGGGCTCAAGATACTACCTTGTGGTAATCCAGATCTACATATTCTTGATTCCAAAACTTCTTTATTTATCTTTAAGGAAACTGATCGATTAGAGTAAGCTGATTTTATGAAGTTGGCAAAGGAGGTTGGTAGACCAATATTGATAAGCTTCTCTTCTAGTATATTTATTTGAACATTATCATATGCTGAAGTTATATCCAAAAATGTAGCCAAAGTGCTGTATTTGTGTGTGAATCCTAGATAGATGTCATTTACTAGTATCGTTAGGGGTTCTAAGGAAGATCTTCCCTTTCTAAAAGCATATTGTGAGTCAGGTAATATTTTTTCATTTTCTAGCCAATATTCAAGCCTGTTCTTTATCATTCTTTCCATGGTTTTAAATATACACGATGATAAAGCTATGGGTCTATATGAATCTGCATTTTCATTCTGTTTCCAGGTTTTTTGATAGGTACTACGATGTATTCTTTCCACATTGGTGGAAAAGGAATCTTATTTATCCAAATCGAATTGAACAATTCTAACAGGGCTTTCTTACGGCCTAAGGGCATTTTATGCAACATATTGTATGAAATGTTATCCGCCCTGGGAGATTTATTATTTGTGGATTTAATGCATTGATCGAGTTCCCATAATTGAAATAGTGATTGTAGAAAAGAGGTGTTTCTCTTTACGGTAGCTATTTGTTGAGTAATGTTGTTTTCAACCCATGAGGGTGAGATTTTTGTGTGGAATTCGTTTATCCAGTCTTCTTTGGGGTCTATTGGGGGTTTATTTACTTGTTTTCGGTTTTTGTATCGGTTCACTTTGTTCCATACTTCATTGATTGGTGTATTTTGATTTAGATTTTGGCAATAATTAATCCAGCTTTTTTTCTTAGCTTCTTTGAAAGTTTTTTAGCTACTGCATCAAGTCTTTTATATTCAGTTAGATTATTAAGATTTGGAGCATGTGTGTAGGTTAAGTAAGCTTGTTTTCTTGATTTAGCAGCTATGTTACAAGTTTCATTCCACCAGTCTTTTGAACAATGATTTCTATTTTGTGTGTTTGATTTTTCTAAGGGAATTGCCTCGTTGGCAGCTTTGTTAATATTGTGGATAATGCCCCTTAGTGATGATTTTGGTTCTGTAGCTTCAAGTGTAGCGGTGTATACATCCCAATTAGCACCCTTGAGTCTCCATATGTTATGTTTTGTCTGTTTAATTTGCGCAAGCGGGCTATTCCTTCCAAATTGTATGTGTATTGGTAAGTGGTTAGAGCCAAAAGGTTCTTCTAAAGTAGACCACGTAATTAGGTGCGTCAGATCCTGTGTACAGAGGGTCAAGTCTACAGCTGACTTCTTATTGTTCGCTAGTGTAGGTGATCCATCATTCAAAATTACTAGGTTGCATTGTTCGATAGCTTCCAAAAGAATCTTGCCCTAGATATCGTCATATCCATCATTCCAAACCAAACTATGTGCATTAAAGTCGCCCCCAATTATGAATGGTTTTGGAATTTGTTCCAAAAAGTTGATCCACTATTGTAATGATATTTTAGTCCTCGGTTTAAAGTATACTGCCTTTAAAATTATAATATTTTTCTGCTTTTAACCATGTTTCCGATAGAAGTGCAACGGAGTAGTTGCCCGTATCTAGTAGATATTCTAAGTTAGTTTTATTAGAAACTGCCGAACGGCAGTTCCATTGAAGAATATTTATTGCATGGTTGAGGTCTGAGAATGTGATGACGTGTTTCCATTTGTAGTTAATTTGACTAAGTTTTCGAGTTCTTCCTTATTTATATTTATACTTTTTGTTACTAAAACTTTTGTGACAATTTCTATAACTAATTCTAATATTGAATTTATCATGCTCAGGTCTGAAGGAGATGCAACTGAATTATTATTAATATTTCCTTTATAGTTAATACTGTCTAATATTCCTCCCGTAGGTAATTGAGATCTAGGGGAAGCTATAATTTCATTACGCAAAATTAATGTTGGATTTGGACTATTTGGTAAATGTTCTAGAATTTGTACTATTTGAATTGTTGTAAAATATGTTATTTGTTGACATTTGGTTAATTGGATTTGATGGGAGCTGGGTGGGTGTATAATTATTGGGATTTAATAGAGGGAAAGTTTTGAGGCAGGAAATGTTAGTAGTTTGTTCCGTATTAAGGGTTGTTGCTTTTGCATAGGAGTTTCTGGGGAACTGTCTGTTGGCGTCTTGATAACTAATATTACTGGAAGACATAGCGTCTTTTACAAGTTTTTGACGTTGAAATTCCTGACACGCGCTCAAATTTGTAGTAAAATGATTCCCCGAACAATTTAAGCATTTTGGAGTTATATCGGTCGTTTTATACTCTTTTGAGTTGTGTGATTCCTGACATTTATCCCACCTAGCCCTGCTCTTACACTGTCCCCCTGTATGTCCAAATCTAAGACAATTATAGCATAATAGCACCTTTTGTTTGTATGGCTCGACTTTATTTAGTACCTTGTTGATTGTTACATATTTTGGTAGTACCTGTGACCTAAAACTAACTACACATGTTTTTGTTGGAATATATTGAGTACCGTTTTCATCTACTTGCCTCCTATTTAATCTTTTGACTTGAATGACTTCAAATTTACAGTGTAAATCGTACATTTTGATTCTATCTTTAACATACTCTACTGAAAATTCTGTGGAAATATCTCTTATTACGCCCTGTCTAACTACAAGAAACTTAGGAATGTATATGTCTAAATTATTTTTTGTAAATATTGCTTCATTTTTTTTAGATATTATATAGTTGGCCAGTTATTATATAGTTTCGCAGATGATCAGGTAGTCGTAGCGAATGACGAGGAAGACATGGACTACATGTTTAGAAAACTAAAGAAAGAATATGAAAAATGGGGCCTCAATATGAATATGGCAAAGACAGAGTATCTTAAAATAGGAGATGGTGAAGAAGATCCAGAGTTAGAAATTAGAAACACAAAAACATGCAATGAATATAAATATCTCGGATCTATAATATCTAAAGAAGGCACTACCAAAAGAGACATCGAAAACAGAACACAGCAGGGAAAAAAAGTGGTAAACATTCTAAACTCTCTACTTTGGTCTAAAGATATTAGACAAGAAACGAAATTGACAATCTATCGAACCTTGGTAGAGCCTATTATGACTTATGGGGCAGAGGTTTGGCAGATAACGCAGAAGGATAGAAAAAGAATAGAAGTAGTAGAAATGGATTTTCTAAGGAGAGCGTGTGGTATATCCAAAAAAGATCACATCAGGAATGAAAATATTAGAAGGAGGACAAATACTGTATATTCCAGTGTAGATAGAATTGAAACGAGACAACTAGTGTGGTATGGTCACGTGAAACGAATGAATGAAGATAGATGGCCAAAGAAAGCTTTAAATTACATACCACAACAAAGAAGAAGAAGGGGAAGGCCTTCAGTTGCCTGGGAAGAAAATGTACGGCACATAATGAGAGATAGAGCCATCAGAGAAGACGAATGGATGGACAGAAAACAATGGCGGTCGAAATGCGAGAAACTGCAGAGGCTGTAGGAACCTCGCTATATATATATATATATATATATATATATATATATATATATATATATATATATATATATATATATATATATATATATATATATCGTTGGCCAATTTATAATCTTTAAATTTTATGCGTATTTTATTTCTCCCTACTGCGTCAATGCTCACAATTTTTTCATAGATTTCTTTAAAATTTGAGATAATAATGTCACCTATCCTTAGAGCGTTTAATCTGCCTTTAAAATCGGGTGAATTATTTTCCAAATGTACGTAATGAGGTCCCAAGTCGTTTTGTCGGTAAAGAAATTCCTCCCTTTTTATTCCTACTTCTTTGTTTATAGTATTTGTTATTGAAGTTTGTACATTAGCAAAGTCATTATCGATAATGGGTATATTATTAACATGTTTTTTGGTACTTATCTGTATAACCGGAACCAGGTTTTTAAATCCTAACAGCTCCTCTTTTGAAGATGCATTTTCTGTATCCATTTGGGTTTCTAAAACATTGTTATCAGAGGCATCTCCTCCGCTAACTGCACTCATTTAATGTCTTTCCGAATTTCGCTTTTTGTGTAGTGTAATTAATTTACCTTTAAAGTTTACGAAATATTTATTTATATATCTAATTTATAAACACCGGTTTTAAAAACAAGCTTCTTTCTTACGCACGTCTAACTACCACGACGAATGAAAGCTGACTGAATTACTACAGTTAACCAATAGGAATGAAAAATATTTATAGTAGACGAGATTATACATAGTTTTGGACATAATGTCCATACACAACGACAAGAGATTGGCTCTTGCCGTTGTGAATTCAATCCCATTGAACATATTTGGAAAACATGTAAAACTTAAAATGATCACTATTATTCGGCACAACGGTTACAGTGACGCAACAGTTTTGGAAACATGGCAAGAAGCATTGAATACTGCTACTCCTACAATTTCGGAAAATAATGTGCGGAAATTGAAAAATTAATAAAAAATGTTGAATGCTTGAAAATCGCATCAAAGCAATTAACCCAGTCATCATTTACAATCCAATGAAGATACCGATTGATGAGTATGGATCTAATTCTTGATTATAATGTAAGGTAATATGTTTTTATTTTCTCATTAAGAAAATGTTTAAAGAAAATTCGTATTTTTGCTCATCTTTGAAAGTGCTTCAAATATTGGGAGAATTTGCTATTAGGTTTCTCAGCACAACGGACCGTTTAAGTCAAATCTTTCATCCTTAATCCAAAATAGCCACAAATTCGTGAAATATACTTAAATAAAAAATACTTACTTGTATACATAAAATAATAGCATTAGGATTATTCATATAAGCTTGAGTCATTTGTTTAATACTTTCTCTAGTATCAGCAGCCATGTCTGTCGTTTGTGTCTAGAAAATAGAAAATTAAAATAAACCAAATGCTTGAAACACAAAACTCGATGAATACTCACTGAAATTATTCCTGGTAAATCTACAAGTACCATCCTTTGTAACCCTGGACCTAAATAAAAAAATATATTTTTGGTTTTAAAAATTATTAAAACACGATTCATGTGGTTAAATATTTTTCAGTCATTTTGTACTCATTAGAAAAATATGTTGCTGTTGTTGATCTCTTAATGCCAATGGCTAAATTAAAAGTTAATGCCAATGGCTAAAACTGCCTTTGACAAATTTAATAACTCTCTCCTCCGACGTGAAGTTCCTTTAAATATTCGAATACGGGTCTTAAAATGTACTTACACTTAAAGTCAGTTCTTTGAATCGTGTGAACACTTAAAGTCAGTTCTTTGAATCGTGTGAAAGCTTTCAAAATGTGGTGTCTTAAAAGGCTGCTCAGAAATTCTACGAGGAGACCACATTATAAATTAAGAGGTCGTAAGAAGAACTAATATCTAATGATAACTACTAATATCGTTTAACTGCGAAAGTTTTCATACTTGGACCATATTTTAAAAAATGACACATTAAGCCTATTAAATATCACCTTAATTTGTAAAATTGAAGCTCGAAGGGGAACTGGTCGCAATCAATATTCATAGTTTTAAGACATACGAAACTGGTGCGAAATACCTGATATTAGCACAATAATCGGAAGTATGGAAGAGCTGTGTGGACTGTGCATTCGATAACCAGCATGAACGTGTACACGCTGTACAGTCTCTCGCGATCTAATATACTATCTACTCGCTATCTAATATATAATAACTCCTTTGCGGTAATCACCAACACATACGTGAAATTTTGATTCGTTACTAAACATTACTAGGGGCCAATCTTATACCGGTTAAGGAAGTCTGGATTTTGTCCACATGAGCCTGGATAACTTTTGTTTTGCTTGTATATTTTAAACAGTTGCTTTTCCTTTGCCTTTAAGAAAATATAATTTTTTAAACTACTAGTACACTTTTAAATTGTTAGCTGTAATGCAACTTTATAAAACTTTAATCCAGATTTATGTATCCACTTGCTTCTATTCTCTGATAAATTTAATCTAGTTTCATGATTCCCTTTAACTGTAACTTGCTTTTTAGTAGTATTTATTCGACATTTTTTGCAAACTTTTACTAATATTCTCCTTTTCCGATCAAAAACTATAGAAGAATATTTTTCGTTTAGTACAGGCACTTATGGACTATATGCCTCCTTTACTATTCTTTGCATTTTTCAATGATTCTAGTCTTATTTACCATTGCGTATTCTTATTTACCTTTAAATATTCAAGAGATGAAAATGGTTTTCTCTTCGCTGTAAGAATTTAATGAGCCCGAATTAAATATAAAATTAAATTTAAATTAAAATATTGAATCCATAATACCAAACAATATCTATCTATATAAAAGGATAGGAGAACAAGTCACACTGTTTGTTCGGAAGGTTAACTACGATACCTAGGAAAGAAATAGGAACTACCAACATCTGATATTTTAATCATATTTAGTTCTTGAAACGATATGGTTGATTTATTTGCTAACAATTTTAACTAATGACGTATAATATATATTATACCTCATACGTCACTAGTTTATAAATTTATAAAGAAATATTAAATAAATAAATATATTTATTTAATACAAAAATAACATTGTTGATAAAGAAATGAAAGCTTGAAGATTTATAAAATAATATGTATTGTCTTTAAATGATTTAGAGCGTGTATCACTCTTACATATTTTATAACTACATTGCTTAGTTGTATCAAATTGATTTGCTAATTTAGGCACTTTTTTATTTATTTTAGTATTTCTTTATTTTTCAATAACTAGACTTTCTTTGATATTTTTTATTCTAATTACCTGTGCACATGCACTTCATTGTTAGTTATATTATTAACATAACCAATGTTTGTTTAAAATCAACTATACGGAAAGAATGGCTAACAATATTTTTTGATAAAAAGTCGTATTGATGATTCAAATATTTTAGTGTTTTGTGGTGGGTGTAGAATAGTTCGTCGAATCATGACGCATGATACATCATTGGAAAGGAAAGGCGGTAACGATATATAGAAAAAGCACACATGACGGTATTGCCAAAAGAGCATTATATCATATATCCTTTGTTATTGATCCGATTGGAGCGTGTAATGTGTTAAATGAAAGTGAGAAAAAAAAGGGCACTATACAGTATCTTCATTATGAATGAACGTATAGCGGCATACGAGATAGCATAGGACACTATCAATTAAAATAGATTTATTATAAAAAAAAATTTATTTGTTGACTTAAAGAAACTGACCGAATTCTGACACGCGAATTAGCAAATGAAAAGGAAGGATATAAGGAATATATTTAGATGGAAAAACAAACAAGACGACTACCGAAACAGCATTACCCAGCATCTCTATCTATCGCTATAGCGATATACAAGATATCACATGACATTATGGATGATAATAAACACACTATAAGGTAAATTTGCTTTATTGATGTAAAGAAGGCCTTTGACTGAGTGAAAAATAAACAATTAGCGGAATCCTAGCATATGGAAACATCAAATAAAACGTCGTGAGACGTGCAGTAAGCATACTGTATATACCGTGCATCATATATATATATATATATATATATATATATATATATATATATATATATATATATATATATATATATATATATACATATATATATATAATTTTTGATGACCTTTTTTATCTAAGATACTTCTTATTTTCACATAATTCTTAATTATATCAGTTTTAGGAATGTTAAGTTCATCCGCCACTTCACGGATTGTTTTGTTACGGCAATAATTTTTTAATCACCAACTCACGAATTTTGGAATTTGTAGAGATACCAGGCACCATTTGATTGAAATTATACAGCCATCCACTTAATTTGACAAGAAATAATACAGTAAAGTTTGCTTGAGTGTCTGGTTGCACTGTTCGCAGCCTATTTGTCTTGTTTGATTTTTAGCAGTTACTTCATACTGCTTTACTATTTAGTTGTCACTAATTTTTATATATTTTGATGATCGTTATGAAATTAATAGGTTATATGAGTTGTATAAAAAATATTAATTAAGTTTTGTGATTATTTATCATTTAAAATATTGCTTACTTAATATTATTATTATAATTATTAAATAATAATAATAAATTAACAATAAAATACCTGAATTTGTATTTTAATGTATCCCAATATCTAGTTGTTAGGGCTCATATTTCCAAATGCCTCACAAGCTCAATTCAAATGTTGGCAACTATTGTGTTAAATGGTTAATACCTATTTTGAATAACAACACGAAACTACAATGCGACAGCTAGAGTCTAAAGATTCAATTTTGTACGTTATTTGATTTCATGTCATAAAGATAAATATAATTTTAAACTTTTGTTCTACTGTAATAGTGTTTATTCAAGTTCATGAAGTAGTGTTTTTTACAGATACTAACCTTTAACTGTCATGGAGATAACTTCGGACGAAACAGTCTTTCCACCTTTAACACTATTTCTCATTCTTAGTTCTACTTCCCGACGCAAATCCGATAAGTCAGACTCCTTTGTGAGATCAAATTCTCTGGTAGAATCCCTGAATTGTGCTATGTGGTATGGTCCTTCTGACAATGTAACCTTTACTGGAGCTCTAGTAAATATAATTAAATAAGAATAAGCTATCTGCAAACTATCTTAGCTATAAAAATTTATATATTCTAGGTTAATCATAAAGTAGAACATGTTATAAAACTTCTATTTGACATGATGAGATCTACATATCTTCAAACGTGAAATTTTAATACCTTATTTCAATCACTTTATTTAATTACTACTTATTAATATAAGGATGCGGCTGTTATCAACTAAAATTGGTTTCTTTCAGTAATGTTAGAATTATCTGCAAAACCAGTATTTAAGTTCATTAGTCAAGACTACTGAGATCATAAAAAGTATCAAGCAGAGGAAGCTGGAATATTTCGGACATGTAATGAGAGGTCCCAAATATAGGTTGCTACAAAATGTCATGCAAGGAAAAATAGCAGCAAACGCAGTCCAGGACGAAGAAGAACCTTATGTTGAAGAACTTGCGAGATTGGTATGGTGTTGACACAAGTATGATATTTAGGGTGGCAGTGAATAAAATTAAGATAGCTATGATGGTAACCAACGTTCTGAAAGGACATGGTACCTGAAGAAGAAGTCCAGACTGTTTTTATTTTGTTACAGTGAACTAATATTTTTTTTTATTTTCAAGTCAATATATTTTTAAGCCAACTGAAACTAACTCTTATTCCGATCGGCTTGTTACTAATAAGGTAAACAATATTTCATCGTCTGCTTAAAATAATACAAGAAACACTGCCTTCAGACCGAATTGGTACGATTTGGATTAAGAGAAAAACATCAATGATCAAGAATATCATCTAATAGATAAAAGATGCAAACTAGTTAAAACGAAAAGAAAACTATACGTCAGTGTTTTTAGATTTTCAATAAAATATAGTAACTAACAGTGTGAACTTCGTGATATTTCACCTTTACTCCGGAACACTTGTAGATCGAACTTTCTTCATCTATATGGCCGTGATAATAACATAACATGAATGAGTACGCTAGTAACGACCTTCATATGAAGCAACAAGAAGTCAGGAGGCTTCTGTTCGATGGCGAATTAGGTAAACTGTAAATCCAATTACTGGAAGCTATTAGACGATGTTAGAATAACCTTTTATTCCGATAATACATCTACAGTTTACCCTTGAAGAAAACACTCTTTTGCACTCTTTACGTAGAGAAAAGACGATGAAATGAAAGTAGACGATTGCATTTCTTTTCAATTCGAGCTCTACCATTGTTCTACACGTGTTTTGCCGTTTCAACTCTCATCGGGAACACTTGTTGCTTGCACTAAAATAAAATTCTCTTAATCTACATATATGGCCGTTATAACATAACATGCCATAGTAGCGACCTCTATATGAAGCAACAAGAAGTCAGGAAACTTATCTTCGATGGCGAATTAGGCGAACTGCAAATCCATGCTAACTGGAAGCTATTTGGCGATATTAGGAATAATCTTTTATTCGGACAATACATCTTCAGTTTTCATTGTAATCTCAAAAGATTTGCAGAACAATGGTGGAGCGCGAAGTGAAAAGAACTACTATCGTCTACTTTAATTTCAACGTATTTCTTCTACGAGTTACAGTACAATGACCGCTACCATCCAGTAAATTCTACCACGTGGATTCCACACGTGACTACCGCTCGATCATTCTGGACTGAATTGAGACGTGTTGGACTGCAAGATCAGCAATTATAAAATTATAAAAACACCATGTAAAAATCAATATTTTCAGTCTGATTTGTAGTTTAGTCTGATTAATTTATTGTTGTTGCTACTAAAATCTTTGTAAGTCGAAAATAAAAGTTTTATTTGTGAAGTTCAGTTTTTAAAAAGGTGTTTTTTTCAAGAACATTCATAATTTACGTAAAGAGTGCAAAAAATGGCATTTTTCAAGGGTTGTTGAGTTATTAACTAAAATAAGATATTCTCCTTAATTAATTAACTTATATCATGCTTTAGTTATGTTTTCCCTGTTAGTTTGCAGTAGTTACAATAATATTATTTCCACTATTACTTGAGATAAAAACTTTTACCTGGTCATCATTTCACCTGCTCCCCTAGGGAAGATTCTAGCTTGCGCAATCATTTCTAAAACTGAAGTCTTTCCGCTGCTTTGATCTCCAACAACAACAACACGGGGTAATTGATCTTGAGTATTATATCCACTGTCAAAATCTGCAAGTTCGTCTAGTACTTCACTGTACATATCAATAAGGCTACGTTTAATTTTTCTAGTAAGTGGCTTCTTTCCTTGTTTCAATAATAAGTTCTGTTTTCTCAATTCTTTATTTTCTTTTTCTAACCTGGAAAATCATGTGATATATTTAAATAAATATTTAAATTTAATAATGCATAGATACGCCCTCAATATATCTATGTAGAATAAAATATTACATATTATTATGTAAGTTTTTTTAACAATTTTATTTTTCTGGATAACCCTGGTACCAATTTTTAAGTACTATATGGTGACAAAATTAAGTACCGAAAATAAAAAAAGGAGGACTTGATACAGGCAGTTGATATTCAGGTTTGAATGTGAACACTTGCGTGTATAGTGTGTTTGGAATAATTATAACGACGAATCTTGAAGACGTAAATGACAAGCCGGTCATAAAAAAGAGTATAAGATGCAATTATTTCAACGGCATTTTTTTGCAAGAACGAGTAAATTTTGCTCGCATTATTTCACAAATTGCTTTTAGATTTTTTTCGTAATTTATTAATATACATTAACTACCCGCAACTATCATTTATTTGTCTATTTTAATACTTAAAAAACTGTTTCAACAGCCCGCCGACTTTAGCGAGCTTAGCCGTGATCTAAGGAAGGCACACAAACGTTGTAAAGTACCGTGAAATATAAGTGCAGTGCAATTTTCAGCCAAAAGAAAATCGACTCCGTAACGTGATTTTTGGAAATGGTGAGTAGCCTTGTCTAGGAATAGAGGCAGGCTAAAGCAGTGACGACAGAAGGCTGTTTAACCAAGGATGACGAGGCTGTTTAAGCAGTCATAAAGAGATGATAAGGTACTCAAATCATGGCTGTACGGACGAGAAATCACGTTACTTTGTTCCATTATAGTAAAAAGTAGTTGAGACACTTGTTCTCGTGCCTTCAAAATAGAAATTTGTGCAAATATTATTTTTTCAACGAACTGTGAATTTTAAGAAAGAACTATTTAACAAACAAAAGTATTTAAAATTGTTTTGATATTGTTGTAATAATTGGTCCAAAAGGATAATATGTGCATTTATTGTGATAAATCATTACAGTTTTCTTAGATTGTAGTAAATTTGGATAACATTATAAAGTAAAAGCGACTACATTTACGACGTTCGCAGTAATACATTTTATTATACTGGGAAAAATAATCTAACTTTTTCTTTAAAAAATAATAGAGTGAACACTCCTTTGGACGGACAGTAGTCGTTCCGCATAACGTGTCCGTTTAAGGGAAGTGGTTCAATAAAGCCAAGTAGTTCTTAACACTAAATATTTAATTAAACTATGTACAAGTAAAGAAACTGTGTAAATTATGTTTGTTATTTAAAAAACTGTATAGTGTGGTTTGCTTAAGGTTAGTTAATTTATTTTTTTTAATTGGAGTTTCTACTGAATCTACAAGTTGAAAGATACGTTGTGCCAAACTAGAATTTCCCTTTAATACAAACAACGTTTCAATGTCTTTAAAGATTTTTGTAAACTTCACTAATGTCTTTTGTGTTCGAACCATTTATTACACTTTCATTTTCTGATAATGTTGCAACAGCCTGGTTCATCTGAAACTCTCGTGCATACTCTTGAATACTTATATCAGGATTTTCTGTCAATAAGGTTCTATCAATTTTCGTGTAAGTTAATGAATCCGTGGAAAAGTCTTTGTTTATTTTAGATAACTCAAAAAGTGACAGATGATCCTCAGAACCTTCTTCTTTAAGTACAATATGGATCTGTGTGATTGTTTTAGGTTGGACTTTCTTCCATGCACTTACGGTCGAAATTAAGGCGTTGGTAATGTTGATAGACTTCTCAATCTCCTTTTGTAGAATCATATTCGTCCACCGACGACAGTAGCCTTCGAATCAAAAACTGCCTATAGTATGTTTTAAATCATTTTATAATCAGTTGATCCAAGGGTTGGCACACTGATGTAGTATTTGGCGGTAGAAATATGAGTTTAACATAACATAACACAAGTTGTGGATGAGACGCAGCATTGTCAAGGAACAAAAGAACTTCTCGATATTCACTCTGCATTCTTCATCAAATTTATTTAGCCTGTATTGTCATGATTTTTCTTATCATCCACGACTTCCTATTGGTGTACCATTCGATAGGATATTCTTCTACGTGTGAACCCTCGAAACAGCGAGGGGTTTGACTTTTTCCGATTACCAGTGGCCTTTCTTTGTTCCCTATCATATTGGTGCAAAATAGAACTCTAATCTATCTTTGAAAACCTTACCTCTAGTACACATTTCTCCTTTCAGGATATAAGTTGTTGGGTAATGCTCTTAAAAATAATTCCGTCTCATCTGCGTTAAAAATGTCTCGCGAAAATTATCCCTTCAGTGAGAAACCATTAATAAATCTACAGCAGTTGTTTCGCTACATTGATTTGAAGGAAATAATGTGTCGCTTACAAAATTTCTCGAACCATCCACCAGAAGCTTTCATATGAACATTTAGTTTCCTTGCCACTTCTAATGCCTTTTCTTGAATAATTTTACCAGAAACAGGAATATTTTTAGATCGCACTTTACAAAACCAATCGAAAACAATTTGTTCTACTGTAGCACCCTCAGTTTTCAAAAATTTTCTTTTCGTTTTCAGGTTTCCGATCTCAGAAAACTGATTAATTAAATCACTCTTACAGTCGGAAAAATGAAAGATTACCCATGAACGATCATATCAACTACATATTTTACATTTGGTCTTTTTCTTTAAATAACAAACCAGAGATATAGATTATTAAGTGTTGTCTACTAAGCAAAAACATAATCCACGACATACGCAGTTACATATTTCTAATTGACAGAGTGAGACGGCGATACAATTGTTAAACGTAGTTAGATTAATGTAGCAGAATATTTAAACTCTCATTTGATTATTTCTGTTTGGGAACATTACATTTTATTGAGGTAAAAAGAATTCCATACATCATAAAAAATGTTGTTAATTTCATATTTACAATTAAAAAAAAAAATTAAATAAAAGAATTTCGGTAAATTTACATTATATTCGCAAAATAACTGCTCCAACATATAGTTGTTAGGGCTCGTAACGTAATTCTTAGAAAAACATTCAACATGAGTAGATATAATGATTGTATAAACTATTAGAGTAATCGTACTGGCCAACTATAATCTGACGAATTCGATTTCCATGAAAATTGGTTCCACTATCCAAAGTAAATTGTTTTGTTTAAGTTTGTGTTAGGTTAGGTTCACTTCAGTTTATAAATTTTAATAATCAGTCCTATTTACTTGAATAAACTCAGTTCTTTTTAATATTATATTGTATTTTTGGTTTGTTAAGTATTTATTTAATTAAAATAGGCCAATAAAATTTGTAAGTAATCACCTGTAAATATGGTTAACTTTTGTCTATGAGTTCGCCAAACGTGTACATATTACGTTGATATTACTATGACTTTTTAATCATAAGTATGAAATTACAGATTATTATATTGTTACGAATGTAAATTTATTTGCAGATAATGGCTGGAAAACTGCTAAACTCGCAATCACAACAATTGGTTTTAAACCTGTATGAATATTTTGAGATGGAAAAAATAACTGGAGGCCCTTTAGAACCCTTTTTATCTGTTCAAGAGGTAAAATATTAAATAATATTCAAATTGTAAGATTACACATGTAATCCTACAATGTAGATCTCGTTCAAAATCTAAAACCACTGATTTACCTGACGGTATAAAAATGACTATACGGGATACATTGTATTGTAATTATGAACAAAGTAAGTTTAGTCTTAATTGGCATTTCTGAAAAAGTCATTTTTTATTACACTCACTCAAAAAATATAAAAAAAAAATAAATAGCTATAGAAGTCAAGAGACAAGTTCTTTGTTTTTGAAAGAGAAACTGTTTTAACGATCAAATACATTATTTGCAACAGTTCCTATAAAATTGCTTCTTATTAAATAAATAATTTACTGCTAATGGAACCAAATGCGTAATGAAACCAATTTTAAAACAATACTTCTTTTTGTAGCCAAATAATATTTATAATTGCAAAATAAAAAACAATTTATAAATATTGTGTGGAATATTTGATTTGAATTGAAGTACTAACTATATATTTAATTTTTTAGAAAAGCATGCTACCGTCACAAGTTTAAATGATGAAATAAAAAATAAAGAAATTGTATTTATAAGCAATCCATCATCAAATCAGGTATTGAAAGAATTGGGATTTAAATATAAAAAGGATGACAACCGAAGATAATTAATGGAACGTGCCAATATTGCTAGTCAAAGGGCTTGCTTTCTTCGTAAGTATATGAAAAATCGTCATATTGCTTCCCCAAGGGAAGTAATGTTTTTAGATGAAACATGGATATATATGCAATGGATCCAAAATCAATTATTGGCAGGATAGTAATATAAAAAGTGTACGCAAACCACAAGATTAGGATGGTAAACGTTTCATTATTGTGCATGCAGGTTCTTCTAAAGGGTACGTCCAAGAAGCAAGTTTACTGTTTTCTTCAAAATCTTTGTCTATGAACTATCATGGCGAAATTAATGAGAATAACTTTACACAGTTAATCCATAATTTAGAGGAATTATCACTGATAGTAATAGACAATGCTCCGTACCATAGTATGCTAGTTGAAAAGCAACCTTCCCATTGTTCCAGAAAATATGAATCATTTGACTAAAAGCAAATAATATTAATTTCAGTGAAAGACTTACAAGACCTGAATTGTTACAACTTGCCAAAATGAATAGAAAAGAAAATGTTTATGTTATTGATGAACTTTTACGAGAGCATGGTCATGAAGTATTACGGCTACCACCCCATCATTGTGACTTTAATACTATTGAGTTAATTGTACATCATACTATAATAAGTATATTGGTAAGGATGGATATGGCGACGATAAAGTATTAAGCATGTGGAGAGAGTCGTTAGAAAATTGTAATGTGGAAGACTGGTTTACAATACATCACTCGCCTCCTTCCATTTCAACCAACCAGCTCTTACTTTAACATGAAGAAATTCATAATACTATATTTGCTTACTCAGTATTTTCGTATTATAAATCTATATTAA